TGGCCGCACGATTGCTGCTCAGCTTCTTCAATGTCCTCTCAATAACATTCTTCCCACTACCAACCATCTCGAGTCGTTCAATCGTGTTCTCAAACATACATATCTGCCTCAGGCGCAGCATGGCGGTCATCGACTTCGATTTGATGTTCTTCTCAAGTTCATCATTCGTGATATGATGCCATCAATTTTTGAGGAACGGAGTGCGCGATTAGAGGAACTAAACCGGCGCAAAGCTCGAGCTCTATGTTTGGTCAACGGCGAACAGCCACCAAGGTGTCCCAATTGGGCGATCAGATTTGATGTGGTACGGTACCCCATGACCTGATCAAATTTGATCCCCTCCCGCGTATCCTCCGGGGTTGAATAAATGTTGTTAAACAGTGAACTTGAAAGGCCTGTCAATACTGTCCTCAGGCGGGTCTGTCGTCGGCGTCGGTGGGCGCTCTCTCCTCGGCACCTTCCGAGACCAGTGTGATCTCGGAGTCATCCATCCGAACGCCATGTGCCGCTCGTCAACGGCCGCCCACGTCATCCGCCCATATTCCCATACTCCCGATCGTCATCCCGCCTCCCGCTCATCGCCAGTTCCATTACTGCACACAGTAAATTCGCAAAAATTGTAATAAATTCAATTAAATATATACATTTACCACGACCAGGTAAAATGACTTAGGACTAAACGGCTAAGCAGCAGACAGTGCGGTGATTACATCTCCGTATTCATGTCGTCGTCGCTGATATCAATGGCCTCAGCTGATTTCGGGGCCACCCGCCTTCAGGGCGAACACATCCTTCTGCTTCGCCGCCCTACCCGCCCCTTTACTATTCGCCTTCTTCGCCGCCGATACGTCCGCCACGCCCAAGGTCCTTGCACACTTCGAGGCACTGTTCTCGCTCAGCAGGTCATCATCGAGCTGGCAGTGTCGGAGCATCTGTTTCTTCTGGCTCGCCTCAGCCGTCACCTGCGTCTCTTTCTGCTTCTCATTGTCGTCGCATTCACCAAGGGTGTTGAGATCGTCGTCGTTACGGGTGTCATCTACATTGAGGTGCATCCTCATCCTCGAGTCTGGGGTAGCGGTCGTCATCGTCCTCAAACATGGTTATTGTCGTCGTCGTTGGAGTCAAGTGGGATGGGTACCCGAAAAAGTGGTGGACGGCATAGTACTCGAATTTGGATTTTCGCAGAGGCGGGCAGCTTCCAACAATCAAGACGAGCTTGGCCACAAGGACGGCAAGTCAGCCTCAGTCTCTGGGAGAGTTGGCAGCAAGAACGCACCTTTGCCACTGCGCATCTGCTTTTACTTGTACCCAAGCGTGTACTCTCCGGACTTGATGACAAGAGCGAGACGTGCCGTCGAAGGGTGTCTTGAGGCCGTCTGTTCGTTGTCCAAACTCGTTGCAACTGTACAGGTCCAACCGACCTCTCAAATCGTCGACGCCGCAATCGCCAATTGCTGCCTGTTTTGAGAGGGCTTACGCGTGGCCCAGTCGTCCAATGGGCATGCCGTTTAAATGTGAAAATAGAAGGAAGAGACGAGCAAGAGCGGCAGCGATAACGGTGTCCAATGTGGGATGGTGGTGGTGGTGGAAGGTGAAGAGATACGACTCCGAACAGCACTTGATCACTGTTCGGGTCGTCGGCTCCGGATGCCGAGCATTGTTCAACGCGTCGTAGACGTTGAACGCGGGCGAATGAGCGCGTAGTAATATAGGCAATAGCTCTACATACATCAATCTACCATTGGATGGAAATACTATGTTGCCCGACTTACTGTATGATGTCTTAGATACCATCCTTGTTGCACCGCGAGCAAATGTGAGTACTGACATGGCTTATAGGCCCAAAAATTGACCAAAAAATAAAACACTCTTACATGCTATAGGAACACATCCCACAATATTTTAAGGCTTCAATCGTCTCCGTTGTCGCGCTGGAGCTCGCACAAGTCGTCAAAACCCACCCGGTCCGATCATCCGAGTGGTGATCAAGCACATTTTGGCACCGTTCAACTTGCCTTCCTACCACCACAATGAACCTGGCCCGCTCCCCGACGATCTGCCCTTCAGGCTACATCTCTTTTCTCTATTTCCACTCAAATTTCCGGACTTGACGATGAGGCTATCCTCTGTTTTCAACCGTTTATTCACCTTTCCTGGTTATAACCTTCACCGCACACTGTTAAGGTCCTCCAGGTCCACTTAAAGGCTGTGAAGGCAATCCTGAAGAAGTACAACGATGCCGCTGCCCGTATGGAACCTCAGCGTTCACAGCTGAAACGGTAAGAGGTCGTCGCTTATGGATTTCTCGCTGAGTTTGATCTTCTGCGAGAGTCCCGCCACGACATTCGAGATAAGGGCTGGGCGACTCCAGCGGATCGACGATGAACGACTACTTCAAGATCTGCGGAGCCGATGAGGAACTGGTGAGGGCCGAGGGCCATGATCCATCCAGCTTCTGACATACACAAACGACGAGGAGCTTTACCTGCGAGTCATGTACGTCGCGCTGAGGCAGAGCCCGCTGAACGTCGCCTTCCAGATTCGTCGCCGCTACTGTCTACGTCGCCGGATGCACGCTGACCATCGCAACCTCGCGAGCATCGAGAAGTTGAAGGGGTTCAAGCAGGCGCTTGACAAAGGACTCGTGAAGGCGCTCAGACCGAGTAAGTGAGCAGGCGTGCGCCGTGGGTTTGAGGCCTCGGAATTTTTTACGATGGCCTTTCAAAGCTTCAGCCGCCCAGGAGTCGGTTGAGCGCTGCATGTCTGGTACTGGCGGTGATTCTGCTGGCGTCGACAAGCGAGATGGGGCGGCGTTGTAGTGGAAGCTGACGACGCCCTTGGTGGTGAAATGGACAGCACTTTCGACTGGTAGTGGGAGGATGAGCAGGAGGAGGAGGCTTTTCAGACCGCCTTCACCATTGATGAGGCTTGCGGAGTGGGCTAATTTGTAACAGTATCTGCATGTATTATTTTAATGTAAATGATCACCATTTTTGCGAATTTATTACATGAGTTCTACATAATGGCGGGAGGACGATGAGCGGGAGGCGGGATGATGATCGGGAGTATGGGAATATGGGCGGATGACGTGGGCGGCCGTTGACGAGCGGCACATGGCGTTCAGATGGATGACTCCGAGATCACACTGGTCTCGGAAGGTGCCGAGGAGAGAGCGCCCACCGACGCCGACGACAGACCCGCCTGAGGACAGTATTGACAGGCCTTTCAAGTTCACCGTTTAACAACATTTATTCAACCCCGGAGGATACGCGGGAGGGGATCAAATTTGATCAGGTCATGGGGTACCGTACCACATCAAATCTGATCGCCCAATTGGGACACCTTGGTGCGAACAGCTCTGGAATGACTGCGAGCAGCAGTCTGGCAGTGCCTGCCGGTCAGTCCCTGTGGCGTACTTGACTCCCGATGAAGCGCGGGACGCTGCAGCTACTGGCATTCTAACCCACAAGCAGATCGGACATCCTGAAATGCTTTCTGACCAAAGTGGTCTCATCCTCATTGCCATTTCGTCACTTTCTACCGAACACGACACCAACCCGATTCAGTACCAGATCCATCTGTTCTTTTCTGGCCTTGCCTCTTGTTCATGCCCGGACTTTGCCAATCACGGGGGCGCGTGTAAACATATACGCGCTGCTTTGATGTATATCGAGAACCTTCGGGGACAATTCTCTATCCCTCCCATCCCCATACCATCAACAGAGCAAGGTGCTCGTCTGCTGTACAGCCATCTCACGTTGACGGGCAACCAGATTTCAGCTTCCTTGTCTACTCCGGCGGCAGGCAAAGCAGATCTATCCGTTCCCGCCATCACTCGGGCAGCAGAGCGCCTGGAGGACATTATCAACGAGCGTGCCGATCTGCATGAGATGCCGAGCCTGCTGATGACGAACCGCGCCAAAATTCACCAACAAGCCGGACGGAAATGGATGATGAGACTAGTAGCGAACCCGACGACGAGGTGTGCAAGAACATTTGTCGCGTTGTTGACATGCCTAATGTGACTACAGGTTGTCCCCGTGATGCGATCCCATATTGGTATTCAAGAACAAGGTCGCGCTCGTTATCTCCACACTATTCGCGCCAACATGCCAAAGTTGGAAGAGTTTGCCGGTTTTCTATCTGAAATCACCTTGAGTTACGAAGATCATGCGGAAACAGACAAATTTCTTGATGTTTTGCGCCGTCTGTCACAGGGCATCGAACAGAAACGACTTGGGGCCAGTGCACGACATGTCAAAGATTCATCTTTTGCCCCGCCATCAACACCGCCGCCACGGGATGGGAAACGGAAGCGTTCCGCCAATGAGGTTATGTCCCCATCACCGGAGAAGAAGCAGAAACGCCACGAGTCGTATTCTATTCACTAGACAGTAGACTACTAATAATATTCTTGTTTGCCCGCGCCGACTTGCAGAATTCACTAAGTCAAGCTATTAGTACCGCAGTGACGTCTAACGGGAGCGCGACGAAGTCAACGGTTACTAAGTTCAAGTCGCCGAGTATGGTGAGCGCGGAAGGCCACGCAATAGGGTGGTGAAGTAAACCCTAGGTTTTGATACACCTCGGGTTTACTGCGGTTAGTAACGGTATTGATACGGTATCGAAACCTCGGCCGAGGTATCAGTACAGTTTCGATACCGACACGTGACAAATTCACGTGATGGTGCGCTGGCACTCAGGCAAGCAGAAAGTGGCGGGATAAGGGCGGGCAGAGGGCGGCGGAGCGGTGCGCCACGTCACGTGGTAAAAGCACGTGCCGGTATCGAAACCGTTACTAACGGTTTCAAAACCAGGACCTCGTGGGGGTCGGTATCAATACCGTTACTAACACCCCCGGAGGTTTACTTCACCACCCTACCACGCAACGAGAAGCAGGAAGCGCGTGGCAGCTGTCATTCCGAAAAGGCAGGCGGCTGGGAGCTCAACCTATCCGTGAAATTGTAAATTGTTGTAAAACTACACATGTCAGGTTGAATCGACGCCAGCAGGATTTGAACCTGCGCCCTCAAAGAGGAACAGATTGCACACTGGTTTAACTTTATTCTAATCTGTCGCCGTAACCACTTGGCTATAGCGCCGTAAGACGTGAAGATGTGACACTGTGGCGGCTCGCGGCAGGTGTATCGTTGAAATAGCTATGACTCTGAGCATCAAGACCATCGTTCTTAACTGAACTACATAGGCAGGAGAGCGAAGCAACAACGCAAGAAGAGAACTTTCGCCTGTGGCTGTGCTAGGTACATTGTGGCGGAGTTTGAATTGGGGGCACGCGTGGCGCGGCGTGCGTCGTCACGTCAAGAGTTGGAGTTGGTCGACCTTGACCACAATGACTGGTGCGTGAATCAGTGCTACTGCTAGGGCTAATCGTGACAGTCTCGTTCACAACTATTAGGAATCATGGACCGCACGCACCAGCATATTCTTTCTCACAAGGCAAATTTTGAGGGCTGGGACACGTTCATTTTCTTGGAAAGATGCCCTGGACAACTGCTTGTTGGCAAGCCTCTTGTAACTATCGCACGGCGGAAAATGAAAGATTCTCAGGCATGAATACAACAAGATTCAAATTGAACACCACCAATGTGTCTCGTTGGCTGAGCATTATCTCGAGAGGCCAAGTCTCCGACGCTCCTACAATTTATCCCTGCCAAATCGTGGCCGTTGGTATTCTGTTGTACATGCCTACAGAGTTAGGCAATCCAGTTGAATGGAGTAGATCGGCAAACTGGGAAATTGGTAATTATGCGCTCAAAAACATAGGATTCGATGAGATTTTTTTCACGGGCGGTCCCCCTTCTACAACCAAGGAACGCGCGCGATACATTGAAAACCAGGTCAGCCGATGTCCGAAACTTTGTGTATCTTGTTTGTTAACAAAGTATAGCCCAATGCAACATCAGGACCCACCTCAACAAATTCTGCCGATTCCTTGGTATTCGTCATCTCCCCGGACGTGTCCCATCCAAGAGAAGTGACGTGTATCGACATTGACGGAGACTTGGCGGTTCGTGCGCCTCATATAGTTTTGTTGACCGGGCCATCTCAAACTATACACAGACTGCCAACAATTACATCTCAATGCCATCCCCTTTAAAAGACGACTTTACGAAGAACAACTTCGGGTGGGATGTTGACGTTTGTAATGTCTTTCGAAAAGGGCCAGGAACTAATACGTTCACAGCGGTCTTCCGTCGTTACATTTCCAGGTCTTTCTACCGAATCGCAGTCTCTTCTTGCTCAATGTTCTCTTCGAATGGCAAACCCTGAATCAGCCAAATTTCTGCTGAATCATTTTCGGGTTTGTCTACAGGTTCATTGCCTTTACGGAGATGTCCACAATGAATACGGACCGACGAGCATCACTAATAGATTAGATTTGTGGGCTGAGGGCGTTCCAGATGATGATAAGGACACACTTGATGTCGCCATACGCGCTTCACGGATATCAGTACGCACTCGAGTGCCTTCAACAAGAGCAGTATTGAAGACTGATCATGCTCCATTCGACAGATGGGATTGTTAGCCGCTCAAGAAGCTAGCAACGACAGTTCTTCCGAAACTGTAGTTTACTAGTTTGTGCTACGGATACAGAGCAGAACGCTCAAACCAGTCTTTCGACACGCGCCATGAGACTCGCGCGTCGCTTTGCGGGCAAACATTGCGTGTTATGTTTACATCACACTTTACGCCAGATACAAAGGTAATTTCTATTTCTCAAGCCTCCCTTTCTTTGGCGCCCTATGATCAGCCACATCATCATTTGGCTCGTCAACGTAGTCGTCGTCGTCACCATTTCCATTGCCTCGAGAACGCTTGCTCTGAGTGGCTGACCGGGGCCGATGTTGTGCGAACTTTGTAAGCTTGGGAACAGCGGCGCCAAGCGCATAGCTGCGAGTGCACAAGTCTAAGAGTAGTCCGTACAATGGGCCATAATTGGAACGGTCCAATGGGTCAGCCAGCTGCCTGAATGCCGCGTAGATGGCAATGCGAACATGTTCGCTTTCCAGGCCGATGTGTTGGACACTTGGATGCAAACAGTTCCGCTTTACACCTATTGAGAAAGCCATCAGGCGCTCTAAAGATCCCGATATGTCATTGACAAAGATTTCGCGCGCATGCTCTTGGGACGGAAGATGTTGTACGCGTTCGAGTATGGTCCAAACATGTACCCACCAAACAGATTCAATGTCATGGAGGAAGTTGTGTCGGGGTTGTGTTGGCCAAACAAGATGTTCAGAAGGAGGAGGGGTGTAAAAAGCTCGCCCACCCATAAGCTCACAAGCCATAAAGAACGGTGTGCCCTACAGTCGTGAAGTTTCAGTACAGGGTCAGAGTGTATGAATGAATAGAGTGTACCATCTTGGTATCTGGACTTGCCACTGTTCCGGATGCTTCCTTCAGATACTCTAGGTCACCCAAGATGCCTCGTCCGGCGTACCACAAAATATTGCCGCCACTTATATCGCGATGGACTGAGCCAACAAGAAACAGGATGATGAGGCCTAACACAAGGTAATAGCTCAAGACGAAGAAAAGGAAAGATAGCACAAAGACATACCAATTACGCCATCGTTGAGAGCCTTCATGGAGTCGCGAAAACTGGTTACTTCCTGTACAGCCTCACACACCTCTTCGAAAACGACCCGATATTGCCTTTTTGGAACAAAGCGGCGCAGCATTTTGGATGCTACGCTGTCCTTGGCAGGCGGCTCTCGCGACGGATTAATTTGGGAACAAGAGGGGTCCGCCCTATCACTTTGGGGGCAAGGTGTTTTTTTAGGAATGCAGCGCAGGGCCGAGCTGAATCGGCGAGAGACTTTGTGGTGAACCCTACGCTATCGCAAACAATAGTGAGAAAGTGTTGTTGGTATGTCCCATCTTCGAGTAAGCTACGGACAGTGGTCCGGTGAGGTTCTGGTAGGCTCAAGAAGGCGTCCGATACAGGCTTGGCCAGTTCGTCTGCCTGTAAAGCCTTGACAAAGCTATCAACACCATTCACAATACCCTTTTTAATTTCTCGCTCTGTCCTTGCGTCTTTGTCGAGCCAGACATCCTTCAAAACGACGTCCTCTGCATTCTCGATGGGGGTGGGATCGTCAAAAGATTTGACTTCGGTGGCCCGCCAGACACGCGTAGCTGGTCCTGAGATGCACAACGAGGGGTATTCGGAAAGCGATCGCAGCGTCTTGTAATAGCGCACTTGCCGTGACTCACTGTCCTCGATTCTGTAGACGAAGTATTCGGGAATGAACGGTGTGGAAAATCGTTTGATCGTGGGATCGAAGCCGAGCTCCTCTGGTGTGGCGAAAATGAAGGAGACCATCACAATGATGAACTCGCGGTAGCTCTAGTGGGCATATCAATCACAGTAATATCACAGGTGTCGACAGGCGTACCTTTACCCAAGAAAAGCCATTTGACACGGCCGAATGAGAACGTGAAAAGTACCAGACAGCAGCGTACTCATCCTCAACGGTGAGCTAAATTGAAGTCGTAGCGAGCAAAACGATACATAAAGGCGTAACGACGCACCCCGTACATAAACATCCGGCGAGGGTTCTCATTCATGGCAAAGTTCGCGTTAGCGACCAAGGAGTCAGAACAGCGGTTCCTAACCTCCGATTCAGACCTTAAGCTGTACTTGGTTTGGTACACATTAGTGACAGCAATATCTCGCATTGCCAGTCCCCCGTCTTGCGTAATTTCGGCTATTGGATAGAAGCAGCCGTCCATGGATTCAGCTACGTTGTTTGAGCGCCGGTGGCGAAGCCTGAAGTTTGCCAAACGGCCTCCTGATATCGCAACCGCCTCCAATTCACGGCAGATGTCCACTAGGGGGGCGTACACGACATGCTCGAGACCGTTCACTGGGATCGTGGCGTCACTCCACTTGAGTTCCTCTTTGTCATCGCGAACTAGGAAAAGTGTGCTCTCAAGGTGTGCGACACACTCATCTACGTCAGCATCGGTTGGAGGAAAGGGAGGTAATGCCCATGGAAATCTTCCCAAGGACAAGACACCGTCTCGTTTTTCATCACAGCAGCAATGCGTGAGCGCAACTCGGGCTGGTTGAGGGTTGTGTTGGACATAGAATCGCACGGGGGCATATCGGTGATGGGTCTGAACGACAATGAGTAGCGTTGTGCGGGCTTGGGCTTGAGCCTGTCAATGAGCGGGAAGAGGCGAACTAACGAATTGAGGCCTAGCGCATAAAGGTACCGTAAGCCGGAGGGCTAAGGACACACAGACGTCGCTGTCGCTTCACACCACAAATACTGTGTGGCGGCGAGAGGGAGACTGGAGGATGGTGCATGTTTCGCATTGTAATGCCGAAGTGATCGACCCGCGGCCGGCTGGCGCACTGTTCTGTACAGTGTAATCTTCTTCGCATTTCCACACGAGAACTGAGATTGAGAGAAGGGTTTTCCAATTATAAGTGTCTACTATATTTGCGAGTCGATATAATTAAGCAGATATGGCTAGTACGATGATCTTGTCTTTCCCAGCCCTCAACACCATGACACGCCCATCGAGAAGAACATCTCGGGAGGCGACGTGTTGTGGGTCTGGCACAATGGTGTCATTCAAGTACAACCCCTGCGCCTGTATGAGCTGGCGTGCCGCGGCTGTTCACTCTTTGTCAGTGACATGCAAGGACGGAAAGAGGCGCATACGAACAATTTGACGTTACCAGACCGTATCTGGCTGCCAGCTTCCCGACGGGGGTAGAAAAGATAGTTTCCTCGTCGCAGTGATGTAATCGCTGGTCGCCTTCGAACGTCTTGAGGATAGTGTTGGCGTCCATGCCTTTGAATCTGTCTCGGCGTGAGTTGAAAAGTGCCTCGGTCTTTGCAACAGCCTGCTCGACGGCCTCCTCTGAGTACATTGGTAAGCATATGGGGCGAGGAGAAAACTGTGGCGACATACTGCCATGGATCAATTCCGTTACTTCTGCGGCCAATAGTTTTTGAGCGCTTCTTTTTTCAGGTCTCGCCTGAGACCGTATCAGTCTTCGTATAGAGGAAGGAGTAGGTGAAGATGAACCTCATGTTCCTGAACGATTTCATCTATATGTGAT